GACTCTGTACATGCTAAGTGCAAAACAAAAAAAAAAGTTTCCCCATTCAGCAAGAATGGGGCAAACAGAGATTTAAGTTGAGAAAAGTTTTGAAAAAATCTTAAGATTGAAAATGATAAATGAGAGCATTCTTTTATTGAGGTGTCCAAGTTAGAATAAGGACGAGAGGACAAAAATCACAGCACCTCCATCAGTGTTTCTTTTAGACCAGTTATGTATTTTCTTTGCAACATTACATTTCTTTTCTTTTCACACATGGATTTCTAGAAGCATTTTATTTTGATACAATTTTAAACTTAACAAAAAGTTGTAAATATGGTTCAAAAATTTTTTGTATATCTTTTTCCAAGAATATCATTTATTGCTTACATTTTACCAATTTGTTTTATCATTTACAAGAAAATTCTCCTACATTTGTATATCTCTGTTATCAAAATCAGGAAATATAGCATTAGCATAATAATATCATTTGGTATGTAGTCCATATAAAAATTGTGTAAATTGATCCAATAATGTCCTTTACAGGACTTTTTTCCCTGTCCCAGTTCAACCTAGGGTAAGAAATTCCACGGAGTTGCCACATCTTTTTAGTTTCTTTTCATCTGGACCCATTCCTCAGTCTGTCCTTTTCTGTTACCTTGTCATTTTTGAGAGTACATGCCAGTTATTTTGTAAATCATGACCTAATGTATATTTCCCTGATATCTCCTCATGAATAGATTCAAGCTAAGAATTTTTTGGTAGTAATACCACAGAAGTAATGTTGTATCCTTCTTTGTGCATTATATTAGGAGGAGTGTGATGCTCATTGTCCCATTATTAGTGATGTGAACTTGGATTACTTGGTTGCAGTGATTGCTGCCAGGTTTATTCTCACATGTAGCTTTATAGGGGTTTTAATTAGATAATACAAATTTTAAAGATAGCTGAGGCAATCAATGATTATGGAGGACAGCTTGGAAGATAAGTAGGTCATTTTATCCTTTTAACTCTAAAGTTGGCCTTTAAGTCAGGTCATAAGAAAAATCAGGTACCTGGA